ACGCCGCGTAAAAGCGGTAGTAAAAGAAAAATGTTTTTTTAACGGCGGTATAGAACACTAGCAGTATGCTAGCAAACCTTTAAAATCTGTGCTTATTTTAAGTAAAATACAGTAATGACTTTGATTTCAGTAATGAGCCATTATGCAAAACTTCAAGTCAAACTTAAAAATCTTGTCATTCATCTGCTAATTGAAATGGAATAAACTGAATATTAGATTTCAAATGAAATATTTTGGATATAAAATTAATTTATCGTTTGCTGCCATGAACGAGATATTAATTTAGCCAATTTTGTAATTGGTTGTGTTTTGCGTATTTATTGTATCTTGTTGATAATGGATGTGAGATGGATGAAAGGTTGATCCGACTTAATAGAAAATGTGTCTACTCATTCGTGTCGTTAGTCAGGACGTTATAGAGACAGTAACGTTCAATCATCTATTGTACTGTGAAGGATTCCAAAATTATTTTGCTAAACCAAATTTTTGAATCTCTATGTTATCTGCCATGTTCATCGAAATAATTGTTTTTAATATTTTATTTACTTTAAGTAGTGATTTTGTTAATGTAGCGCGCAATGTTTATCGACCTACCATTGATTTCGTTACGCCATTTTTTCTTGATCATATGTATCGCATTCAACTCGTTCGATTCCTACAAATTTGCCGCCGTTTTCTTCGTTCAGGACCATGGAATCTTCCCATCTCAATGAATGTCAAAGAATAACCGGTAAGAAAGTTAAGCATGAAACTGATTCACTGGGGTCACATTTTATTAATCATTGCCATTATTTGTTTAAACTGTTCTTTCAAAGAATGGATCGAAGACGGGTTCTGAAGTTTCTACCAAACACAAACATTCAACCCATTAGAATAACAAATTATTGGATGCAATGGCTGCCGGCCAGGTCATATTTTGACATTTAGCACGATGCTTAAAAAGTCTGCGTAAAAGGTACAATGAGAGTGTCACGAACGTTCATGACATCCATGCAAATTTAAGCAGAGCAAAGGTTCATGAGTAATGAGGCTGGTGAGTTAAGAAAGCATGTGATTCTTTCTACTCCTAAAATGCGCACGACGCAACTGAACACAGAGGTGTAAAATCTAATACACCAGAAAATACGCCTAATCTGCTTAAATATCATGAAGTAATTTCGTCACATTTTAAACAGAGCTTGTGCGAAAATAAGCTAATACGAATGAATGTTTCACTGAACGCATAAGTCTCGTAACAATTTTCCATTGCTGTCCGTATGACGATAGTTCTGTCTCTCTTTCCATATCCTTGAGAAAGAACCCTATTTTGATTCATTAAAATTTGCGATGTTCGCTATGCTTCATATTCCAGAATTCAGTATACTGTATTTACTAATGATATTCAAAACTACACATTGTTCTGCTTTCATTACCCAAATATATACGTCTTGCAGTCGAAGACAACTACTACTTAATATTTACAGGCACTTAATATTAATATTGACATACTTAATATTTATCAGACGTCACTGAGGCAGAAGGATTCATGAGGATAAGAATTAGGCATGGCAATATTGACAGAGACACTCCTATGACTGTTTCCAGTGAATTGTTTAGCGCCTAGTCGCGTCATGACGTCGCGTCGCAGTTGTCACAGATAATGACGGGTTGATTACAGCACATCTGTAAGTGTGCTCGACCGTCACAGTATAGACAATGCGAGAACCACCTGGATGTTGCCTTGTGCAAGCCTAAAGACTCACCCAGGTGATGTCCCATCAGGGGCAAGATCTCGTGTCAGACGTTGCGTCTGCATTGGGTCAGATCACCATTTAGTTGCAGCGCAACTTGTCTAGCATTAGGCGCGTCGTATCGACGCTGTGTGGCCGAAGCACATCACCTGTTCGATGCTGACAGGTTAAAATATGGCGAAGTGACGTGTTTGGCCAACCAAAAGGGGGCACAGGGTTACTTCAGCGCCGCCCTTAATGCCCAGTCGGGGAGTGGCAAAGGCGACGACTAAGCTTACGAAGACTTCATTCAATAAAGTCAGCGCATTCTCAGCGAAATACGTAGTTAGTGTAAGGAGGATAGCGAAACTGCCCTGAGTTTCGGAAAAGGCCATAGCCATTAGAGACAAAAGAATCAGGTAAAGCAGGAGTACCACCATACTGTGCCCACGAAGGTAGTTCATTGCGTTCTTGTTGTTTTCGTGCAGTCAACTACAGCTGTAGGCGGAGCGAGAAATCACGAAGATGGATAAGAGAGCCAGAAGGGTGACTGATGAATAGTGCCCAAAGGGGGTACGACATTTTTCCGTTAAGCAGTCCCTCAGCTTGTCTAAGGACAAGTCAAAAGGAACCTAAATATTGGGTTGAGCATTTCCAGCAGCTGCTTAGTGGCTGTCCCCCTTTCACATCATTTCAGACCGGCAATTTTCTGCAACGCTAGAGACTATTACAGATGCACTCATAAAACTTTAAATCCAGAAGGCCTTGTTACACTGTGGAGAGAATCAAATTCATTCAGAGTTAACAGCAATGGTACAAATGCTCTATGCCTGTCTTATCAGTTATAGATCTCCAAATGTTTCCATGGAGAATGGAAGTGTTGAGTAATTCCCTCAATATTTAAAGAGGGTCGAGCGATGTAGTATACAGTCGCAGCATGTCTCAGGTACATTCGCGGAAGGGTAAAAGTTGCCTTTGTACGGGGTGAAAGTGTTAGGAAATGAGGCGAGTCTT